AAAAAAAAAAAAAAACATGGCAGCCTAGCCGCCATGGCTTCTTGTCCATGGCAGCTGCTGCCATGGACGAAGAATCCATGGGGCAACTCCACGGAAGCTGCTGCCATGGACGAAGAATCCATGGGGCAACTCCACGGAAGCTGCTGCCATGGACAAGAAGCCATGGGGCAACTCCATGGAAGCTGCTGCCATGGCTTCTTGTCCATGGCAGCAGCTGCCGGCTGCCATGGACAAAGAATCCATGGGCATCTCCATGGCAGCTGCTGCTATGGCTTCTTGTCTCTTGCAGAAGCCCGCCATGGCAGTTTGAAGAAACTTAATGGAGATGATTTTTTTTTAAAGGAAATTAATTTTTAAAAACTTTAATTTAATTTTTGTTTATTTTTAAATAGAATTTTACAAGTCAATGTAAGCAAAGTTTACAGGTTACCTTTCGGTAACCTATTAAATAAGTTAATTGCACAAATCTAACAAGTTTATGGGTCTAATTGAATGTCTTTTTAGTTTAAGGGTCTAATTGAACATTGATATATAGTTGGAGGGTCTATTTGACCCTTATCCCTTATATTATTTATGTCTCCTAAAAATTAATTAAAAAATTTCTTAAACTCATCCACGTTGATGTATTAAAATCAACCAAAAATAATAATAATGCAGCGCAATTTAGTCTATTAATGTTGGTAATCCTGTCAATTCTAAGGTCTTCCCATATAAACGTTTTACCTAATACCTCACCTACTGTTTCTCAACACGCCTATTATATTTCATTTCAAGTTGTGCAGTCGCTCGTGCCCCTAGTGAATACTGATTTTCAACATTATAATTTATTTATATTTAACTTTTTAGTTTTTATTATATTGGGCTGCAATATAATGAACACTTGCATGCACCGTATATATCATATTTTATCTACTATTTTGGAATTTATTGTAGTCCAAAAGCATATATATATGAATTAAGGTGAAAGGCTTCTCTGAGCAAGACGACGACGTTGGAGGGAAAATTGAGAAGCAACAAAAGCTTAAAAGTAAGACTAACCATGTCTGGCCCATGGATTAGGTTGAAGATGTTTCAAAAATCACAACGAACTCAAAAATGCCACACTTAGAATATAATCTTATATTAATTGCATCACACATATGCATATTCTTGATCCGTAACACTTTATTCAATTCCCTTGATTTACAGGGTAACTCATTCCTGGTATTAAATGTGTGTATTAGGTGAAGTTTATCTTGTGACCTACTAAGTAAAAGATAAAAAGAACTTAAGGTAAACCGTAAACCAACTTAAGTTATCCATAGTTGATTGATTCAAATCAAGAAAACCAATAATAGATCACTCTAGCATGGAGTCGAACTTTCAATTGGAACCTTGTGGTTAACAAACGAACTAGCCAACTAACTTGACTAGGATTACCCCGTTATGTTATTCCACGCAACTAAATAATTACCATTATGGACAACGTACTTAGTTACTATTTACATATGTACCCTAACCAACAAAGGACTACACTGAGGCAATGCAAATCAACTTATGTTGTCAATAACTGACAGACTCAAATCAAGAAAGCTCATAGAAAGTTAAACTTAGAACTTTGTAGTTACATAATTAATTGAGCAACCAACTTAGTTGGATTTTCCAGTTAGTTATTCCATGCAGCTAAATAATTACCGGTACGGACTATGTACTTAGTTACTATTCACGTATATCATAGGGAAAATATGACAACTAACACTGCTTAGCTTGTCGCCAGTAATATAAATGGTGTCAACAATAATAGGGTTAAAAAACCACTTAATTTCTTTTTCTTTAAGGTAAAGATCCTGCTGGATGGCGGCAAGAGCTGATCTGATCTGTTTGGTTGTACATATCTCTCATCCCCTCCATTAATTTTTGTATAATATATATGATCTGATCTTCTTCTTCAATCCTTGACTGGCTTTCTAGCTTGAGTACATGGTGGATTTGCTAAGCCTCTACGTCAGTGAATCCCTTTAAAAATTTATATATATAACGTCTTGCTTTCAAGCTTTGGCTTACTCTAATCCTTTTCTGTCTACCTAATCTGTTATATATTCACAGTGCAATTACACCTTCTCTTCTACCCCCTTAACAAACTGATAATCACACTCTGCCTGCTAGCAACAGCGACCCTTCCATCTATATATACACATTATTCTCACTTCTTCAATTCCCATCATCATTATCACCATCATATATATGCATATTCATATATATATCTGTCAAAAATGGTGAAAAGTGTCAGAAGGGGCGTGTTCTTCGCGTTTCTGTGTCTTGTTTTTTGTCTTTCTGCAACTGAAGCCGCCATTAAGACCTACCAGTTTGATGTGAGTTGAATTGCTTCATCATATTCTATTCATGATATGGAATTGCTTGATCAAGTTGGTCAGGCAGTTGGTTGGGTAACCACAAGGTTACAAGTTCAACTATGGCCTTCTTGGTTTAAGCCGATTAGCTATAAGCAGTTTAGGCTGGTTTACCTCATTGTGGTCTGTTGCCGGTTAAGGTTACAAAGCAAAGTTTACCCAATACTGAATATAGGTTTCCCTCGTCACTCGAATTAACTTTTGGGTTTATTTGCAGATTCAAGAGAGTAATGTGAGTAGGCTGTGCCATGCAAAACCTATTGTGACTGTTAATGGGATGTTCCCAGGGCCTACCATTTATGCCAGAGAAGGAGACAGAGTTCGTATCAATGTTACTAACCATGCACAATACAACATTTCCATCCACTGGTAATTAAAATACACAGCCATATATGGATATATATATGATTGTCACAAAACTGATGTAATTAATGTTGGTATCTTAATGGTTGCAGGCATGGACTCAAACAGTATCGTAATGGTTGGGCTGATGGACCGGCTTATATAACGCAATGTCCCATCAAAACAGGAAATAGTTATGTGTATGATTTCAATGTGACGGGCCAAAGAGGGACTTTGTGGTGGCACGCACACATTCTATGGCTAAGGGCAACGGTGTATGGTGCGATTGTGATCATGCCACAACAAGGAACCCCCTTCCCTTTCCTTCAACCCGATAGGGAGGAAGTAATTGTACTCGGTAAATTAAAGTCATTTTGTCTTTCTTATTCCACAGTATATTTTCTGCGTGCTTATAAATATTTTAATTAGCTCTGTCTTAATTCTCATATGATTGACATGTGGTCTTACTTTAATATTTTCCCGTCACGTTGTCTAGACCTTCCTTATCCAATTTAGCTTTGATACGTTGCAGGAGAATGGTGGAATGCAGACGTTGAATCTGTGGAGAATCAAGGCAACCAATTGGGTTTGCCCCCAAACATGTCCGATGCTCACACCATCAACGGAAAACCTGGACCTCTGTTTCCATGTTCTGAGAAACGTATGTAACCAATACTATAAAAGAAGTCATTTTTTTTTGCTGAAATTTGTGATGGTAGTAGACCGGAGTTCGAAACCCATCATCTTCATACTCGTCCCCGGTCTCATTAGGAGAAAAAAAATGAGAAAAATGAGGCTAACCTTAACCAAATTCGTCTTATTGGTGACTTGGTAACTACATGATTACAAGTTCAACTCTCAACGTATTCTTAGTTTCAGCCGTTTAGTTATGAGCAACCTAATTTGGATTACCAGCCAAGTTCGTCAAGCTGATGACTTGATTACCAGTTTACCATGTTCCAATCAGTTTATTAGCCTTTTTTATTTGAAACAGTCAACTATGATTGGTTTAGTTCATTACATTTATTTACTGACTAGAGTTACAAAGCTGTTACCCAATGCATACTCTAGAATAGTAGTTGCTGGTTTCAATCCCAAAAAAAAAAAAAAAAGAAAAAAAGAGAGTAAATTTATGCCTAGGATGAACTGGTTTAATTATGTACTTCGTATTAACATTGTTTGTGTGTTTGGACAGATACATTTGCAATGGAGGTAGAACAAGGAAAACTATATATGCTCAGAATCATCAATGCTGCACTCAACGACGAGCTGTTTTTTGGGCTTTCCGGTCACAGCATGACGGTGGTAGAAATTGACGCAGTCTACACGAAGCCGTTCTCGACGAACGCGATACTCATCGCGCCGGGACAGACAACCACCGTTCTGGTTCGCGCTAACCAGATCCCTGGCAGATATTTCATGGCCGCCAGGCCATTTATGGACGTTCCGATTCCGGTGGACAATAAAACAGCCACCGCCATATTCCAATACAAAGGCGTCCCGGACACCATCTTACCGACGCTCCCTCTTCTCCCGGCTCCCAACGACACCGATTTCGCCATGACCTATAACGCCAAGCTTAGAAGCCTAAACACTCCCAATTTTCCGGCCAACGTTCCCCTCAACGTCGACAGGCATCTGTTCTTCACAATCGGTTTGGGGGTGAATCCTTGTCCGACCTGCTTGAACGGTAATTGAAGCACGTGATCCATTTTAACTAAAAACTTAATCTTCTTCTCTCAAAAAGTTAAATCTCAAACCCTAACTTATATATACTTAACAGGTACAAAATTGGTGGCGTCTTTGAACAACATTTCATTTGTGATGCCGGAAACCGCCCTTCTCCAAGCTCATTACTTCGACATGAACGACGTGTACACTTTAGATTTCCCGGACAAGCCTCCGACTCCGTTTAACTACACCGGAGCGCCGCTCACGGCGAATCTCCGGACTGTTCGAGGGACTAGGCTAAGCAAGATTGCCTTCAATTCTTCAGTTGAGTTAGTTATACAAGACACCAACCTCCTGTCGGTTGAATCGCATCCTTTCCATCTCCATGGCTACAACTTCTTTGTAGTTGGAACCGGTGTCGGGAATTTCGATCCGACTAAGGATCCTGCAAATTACAACCTCGTTGATCCTCCGGAAAGAAACACCGTCGGTGTTCCTACCGGTGGTTGGGCTGCTATTCGGTTCAGAGCTGATAATCCAGGTACCAGAAAACACCATTTATTCATATTAGTGTGAAATCCTTCATTCTTTTTTGAGTAACGAAAGAAACCCGTAATCACTATTCGAAAGTGTGTTCAGCTTAGATTGTCCATAGTTGATCGACTTAAATCAAGAAAGTCAATGGACGGCTTAATTTAGCTAGTTGAATAACTTGATCAACTTAGCTAGTCTTGAAATCCTTCATTCTTGGCTTATCTTTTGAACATTTCTTCAGGGGTGTGGTTTTTCCACTGCCATTTGGAGCTTCATACAGGGTGGGGGCTGAAGACTGCGTTTGTAGTAGAAGACGGACCGGGTTCTGATCACAACATTCTACCTCCTCCAGCGGATCTTCCATCGTGCTGATGATACTAAACGACAGGGATTATTCTGTATCATACATGTTTGAGACATATATACCACAGGATATATTGTTTTAACACGAAAAATGTAATAAAATTTCAGAAAAATTTGATTGTTCTCATTTCTCCATTTAGCATTTCACATACATGATACTGTGTTCTGTGTTGTCCTCCAAGCAAAAAAGCTTTCAGGTAAGAGCAAAGATGTTGCCTCGAGATGATTGATTGAATGTAGTTTCTGGAAAATAAGTTTATTGTAATGATATTGTTCTATCTTCCATGGAATGATGTCACGAGTTCATACCACCTGCACGGGGACGAATGTTCCAAGAGATAAAGCAGATAACGAGATAGAAACTTTATGTTCATGTCGTATACAAGCTCAACTCGTTAAGCAATTAAGGAACATCATAGTACACTAATTCGATGTGTTACTAAATCTTAAGCTGAACGATGGTGATTCCTCAAGGAAGAGCCTTTATATGAAATTTCAGTTAATCCACGAGGACACAAGATAAGGAACACGAAACATTCTATAGTGACAAAGAACGAGAAGTAGACTAAGAAGAGAGTGAAGGGAAGAAGTATAGAATGGAGGGCTGTTATTGAGGAAGATAGAGTTCTCTAATTCTTATTTACAAAAATTCAGAGGGGCATCAAAGCTGTGAAACTCAACGGCCCCTTTAATAAATCATTAGTCGTATGAAATTATATCTAACCTTCTGGGCGAGTGTTCGTGAGCTTCTTGGCTTCTAGCTCTCTCAAAGCAGTGGAACTCAGTTTGTCTCCGCTCGATTCTTCAGAGAGTAGATCTACAACTTCAATCTGCATAATAAACTCGATACTGAGACTTCATAGTTCAAAAGATAAGTAGCAAACATAATGACACAAGATAATGATGTTTCTATCTAGAAAGGTTTATCGTTAAGCCATAGATCAGACCTTTAGTTGTGAAAGACCTCTCTCAGCCCTCTTCTTATTGACAGATAATCCACCGGGTAATGTCTCCTTGCTATAACAAAATTTCCATATTTTAAAGAAAGTGAACTTGTGAAAGACAACATGAAAGGATAGAGAAGGTAGGAAAATCTAAGAACCTGACTACAATAGCCTCCAAATTCTCATCAATGATTGAAGGACCATAAGGATTGACAATCGGCTCTGCTTGTACAACCAGCTCTGCCTTGATGCTCTAGACAAAAATATTCGGAGGAGCATATCACTATCAGTTAATTGAAGAGGGAAAGCTCCCCGTACCATTCCCAAACAACTAGCTTGGTCCGTCATTAACACGGTCAATAGACAAGTGATTGATGGTTTAGGTAGGCGCTCATTTGTGTCATTTTTGGGACTTGTACACTATGTACCCTAGTCTTTTTCTATAAACACAACACATTTTTCATTTAGGCTGTGTTTGGAAACCAGAAAAATGACTTCTGGAAAATGAGTCATTTTCCGGAAAACATTTTTTTTTCCAATGTTAGGTTGCTTTCCAAAAAACTGTCTTGGTGTGTTTGGTTCATTTTCTGGAAAATGAGCAGAACTATTTTTAATTTTTAATTTTAAATATTTAAGGAGAAGTTGTTTTCCGGAAAACCCATACTATTTTCCCTTTTGACTCATCCTCATTTTCCGTTGAATCTAATTTCCCCTCCTTTGCCAAACATGGGAAGCCCGGAAAATGATTTCTGGAAATCATTTTCTGGGCTTCCAAACACAACCTTAGTAGATTATTATGAGGTTAGCAGAGGCCAAAGAACAGCAGAAGCTTATGGCATGCCACTTAAACCCACCTACTTTCTTCCGGCAAAGCAGATATTCCTAAAGCAGAAAGCATTTTCCAATTAAAGATTTGACGATTAAGTGACATTGCTGCACCAGTTTAAAACGCCAAAGAACAAAACACTTTTTTGGTACACCTGAGGTGGAACGGAATTTAACTCAAAACTCCTAACCTTTAAGTTAGGAGGCGCCTCTCCTCAGCCGTTTGTGCAAAACACCAAAGAGAAAGTCATAAATTGTCATTAGTATAAGTATTAGTACCTTAATGTAATTTTCAACATTTTGCATTCTTTGCTCAATTGGCTCTATTAAATCAGCATACTGCAGAAGGAAAACAGTCATAAATTTTCATCGCATTGACATCTCAAATAGAAGGAAGAGAGAAGATCAAAACACCACAATCAGAGTAATGATAGAATATAAATTTTGCTTAAAACAAAACCTGGCAACCTAAACCGTTTGCTACAATCTTAAGTATCAATAGTCATTGCTACATTTCCACTGCAAATTTTAAAACTAAATATCACAAAACATAACCACACTATGCTTTTCTTCCAAATTTTCTATCCCTTTTGTAAGCTCCCCTTACATCCACCCCCTAGAATAAGTAAAAGAATTAAGAAGCCCGCATAGGCAGCTCAGTTGGTCACAGGGGTGAAGTTTAGGAACAAGGACATGGGATTGAGTCTTCACCTCTCAAAGTGAGGAGGGCTCCTTGTGTGCACAAAAGCAAAGGTCTAACTTCTGTGTTCAGCTGAGTTACCCATCCTCTTAGATGCTTTGTCGGGCCGGGGTGTGGGACTGTGGGGGGCCTTGGGGTTGGGGATTCAACCTTTTGGGAACAAAGTAAAAGAATTAAGATGCCCACATGGGCAGTTCGATTGATTCCAAGGTAGTAGATTGTGGGCAAGGACACCGGATCAAGCCCTAGCCGTCGCTGGGAGCTACACTCAATGTGGTGGGTTCCTTGTGACACCAGACACTCAATGTGGTGGGTTCCTTGTGGACACCAGACACTAGTCCTACCACCTAATGCGATACTGAATCAGTGTAATTTATTGCTAAATTATCTTGTGGGGGTGTGGGTCCGGGGACCAGGGAATTTGCCTTTTGTGGGCAAGTACAAGAACTAAGGTGGAAAGATTGCAAATCATCTCTGTGATTGAATTTACTCAATCATCCAATAAGCAGATCACCTTTCATATGCAAATTGCTAAAGCGAATAATATGCGATCACATCGATGAAAGAAACATAAAGCTAAAATCTTTATTCGCATTTTCAATAAACAAAGCCTAGCCCTTGCCCATTATTAAACTAAACACAACAGAGTTAGAATTTAGAAAGAAAATAATACCTTCTTCTTGGTCAACATTGGGCCAGCGCAAACACCAACTACGACTCGTTCCCGGGACAACTCGGCCGCAGCCTATTAGACAAAAGATATTCGGTAACAAAGAACAGAGGGAAAATTATGTGCAAATTTCAGATTGTGTTGATTTATTTATGCAGTGAAGGAATGGGAGTTGAAGGACCTTGAGGAAGAGGCGGTGGCCGTCGTGTAAGCGGTCGAAAGTGCCGCCGAGAACCACCGCGGCGTATGAATCTAGCGGAGACGAGGTTGAGTTGATCGCCGATTGCTCTTCCATTATCGCCATTGGGGCGGCTATGATTGCTGTGTTTCAAGAGAAAAGAGAAGTAACCAACTGAAGTTGGGTTGGTTAGTAGAAGGTTAGTTGGCAGGAAAGCAGTCAGCACGCCGCTTTGGACTTCAACGTTCACGTGTATCCAAAACAAATACCCCTAATAATTTCATATTTCGACATGTCTTAAACAAAGTGATAACTAGCATGATAAATTTTAACATTAAAATAATAATCGTTGATAAAAATTAATACTAACACAGTAATCATGAATAAAAATTGTTAGAAATTAAACATATGAGTCAAAACTGTCAATTACTAATATTCATAGGACCAAAATTGATATTTACTAATTAATCTCTTCATTAATTTAAACAACTTACTTTATTAGATTAATTGAGTTTATTTTAAGCAATTTGATATAGTTCAAATATATAATTATATAACGGATTTAGACATAATTGGATATTAATGTATTTCGAATGATATTGATATTATTTGATTTATTTAAATAATTATATCATGAATTTAAACATAATTAGGTCTTGATACATTTCAAATGATGTTGATATTATTTAATTTGATTTATTTAAATAATCATGGAGTTAGACATAAAAGTATACTTTCTAATGTTACACTTGATACTTTTCCATTTATAAATAGCTCGAAATGCAAAGTAAACGGCATTTAAGACTCTTAATTAGTTTATTCAATATTTTTACTTCATTTTTAAGACTTTTTTAGTTTTGACGTGACTAATTACCTAATTGGTGTTAATGCTATGGAATCCTTTTTATTTTTTCTTTATAATCAACCAATCACAATTAGAAAGTACACAAATATTTAAAGTATTAATACCCAAAATTGTCCTCGACTATAGTGGTTTTTCTCAATTTCGTCCTAAACGACTTTGGTGACCTAATATCGTCCCAGACTTTTGTGTTTCGCTCAATTTAGTCCTCCATTTGTTATTCCGTCAAATTGGTGTTAAATAAAGGGACAATTCAGTAATGTCAATATTGATCTCTCTTTACTTTCAACTTGTGAAGTGGGAAATTCCTCTTTCTTGTACGAATTACACCCAGAATTACTCCCGGACCTGCGAATCAAATTTTATATTCGCAGTTTTAGGAGTAATTCTGGAAGTAATTCGTAAAAAAAAAGGGATTTCGCAGTTCACATGTCTATGAGTAAAGAGATGCCAATTTTAAAATTACTGAATTGTCTATTTATTTAACACCAAATGGACAGAATAACAAATGAGGGACTAAATTGAGCAAAAACACAAAAGTCTGTGACTAAATTGAGCGAAACACAAAAGTGTGGGACGATATTAGGTCACCAAAGTCGTTTAGGACGAAATTGAGAAAAACCATTATAATCGAGGACGATTTTGGGTATTAACTCAATATTTAAATGTTGATAAGATCTATAATAGTTCTCATTTTAATTATATAATTAATAAAACATATATTTGTACCTTGTAGAATAAATATATTTAAATTTTATAAAAAGTAACATTTTTGATCGCTCAATTATACATAACCGTTGTGTAGATTTAATCTTTCAATTGTTTATAATGCATATGGAGTTAATCAATTATTATTAAAGTGACAATTTTAATTATTGAGATGCCAAATTCATCATTTTGATACCGAATTCATCGTCTTGATAATAACTAAAAAAAGAATAAGCTACCAAACACCTTATGCTTAGATGACACATCTATGGCTCCCCTTCAGGGAAGGTCACAGGATTGAACCCCGGTGGAGTGTCTAAATCTAGACTTTAAATATTTGAATGACTAATGCTTTTTTTTAAAGCATTTGAATAACTAATTAAATATATACAATGATCATAAATGAAAGGCTAAACCCCCTGTCTTGTTCATTGTCTTTCTGATGACTTAATATGAATTAAGTTGTTTCTTTCCAAAAAAAAAAAAAAAAAATTGAAAGCCTAAAAGTGTAATTTTCCTTTAAAAAATTGTTGTAATGAATTATAAAGGAAATGACTTCTTTTAAAAATGGATGTAGTACATTTAATAATAATTATTGTTAGTGTAATATATATATATATATATATATATATATATATATATATATATATATATATGGGACTATGAGCCGTTGATCTATATTAGATCAATGATTCAAAATGAAGGAATTTTTTTCTAAACGCGTTTCCTGATAACATGGATGCGAATGATCTTAAGTGTCTCAAAATATGTATCTTAAGGGTCAAACTTATGCATCTTAAGCTATGAACTTATGCACCTTAAATTTCGAATTTATGCACTTTAAGTCTTCGAACTTATGCGCTTTAAGTGTCGAAATTATGTACCTTAATTACTGAATTGACGATACACCTTAAGTTTCAAAGAGATGCACCTTGAGTACTAAATTGATACACCTTAAGCTGGAAAATAATGCACCTTAAGCTTTAAATTTATGCACATAAGAGTATGGAAGTCGATATTCCTAACGAATCAAAGTTGTGCACCTTAAACTTGAAACTTATGCGCCTTAGAGTCTGTAAGTCGTGCACCTTAAGTTAAACTGGTGCACCTATCTTAAACTAGAAAGTGATGCGCCTTAAATTTTAAACATATACACCTTAAACTATATATAAACCTATGCACCTTAACCTTTAAACTTAAGTACTTAAGCTTTAAAGTTAGGTACTTAAAATTATAAACTTACACACCTTAAGCTTTAAACTGTATAAATTTTATTGTTAATGACAGGTGTAATAGCTTTCCTCAATCGGGCCTTCTTCTAGTTTTGGAAGAAGACGAATGTGGTTCGTCTTTCTTCCTCTTCTATATGAGATATGAGAGGAAGATGGATTCATTTATTCTTAAATATAATTTGAGGATTTAAAAAAAAAAAAAAAAAACCCCAATAGTCCGTATTTGGTATATTCCAATTATTAGCGCATTTTAGTGAAATTCATTCGGCTGCGGATGGAGTTGAGCCAACTGCCAAACCGCCAAAATGATTGGCGCGCTTTCTCCTCGACGATTCCCATGGAAATCACTGCCAACAACTTCTTAGTATACCAACATAGCTGTCCATTAAGATACGGCATCTAATGCCACTCCAAGCCAAACGCTCTCGTCGTCTTCATCGATGGCTTCGCTTCGACGATATCGCCGCTCGATCACCTCCCAAATCCGCCACCTCGCTCGATGCCATAGTTCTCATCATCATCGTTCTTGTCCCCATTTCCAACAGCTTGAAGTTAGCCATAAATTTCTGGTCTTTTCGTATAATTATCATCACCGGCTGCATTTCTCAGGCTGGTTTGAGAGTTTCTTGATTTCCAAAATCTTCGTTGAAAATGGCGGATATCAATATGCCGCGGTACAGTAAGCAGACCCAGGCCCAGATTTCGTCTGCGATGAAGCAACGGAGAAGCGGGTACGAGCCGTCCGACGCGGAAACGGATTGGCCGGAAACTCCGGCCCGGGAGACGACGATGAGAAACGGCGAGGAGGAGGATACCAGCAGCTCTGAAGCTTTCAATCTCAGCCACCGCCACGCGGCGATTCTCCACCTCGAAACAGCGGCTTCCCCCATTAAAGCTGCACCGAGAAGGCCTAGCAAGTCACCGTATAGACCACGCGCCGCCGTCGACGGTGATGTTCATAATACCCATAATACCCTTCACCGTAGCTCTAATAGAAATGTTAGCCCTTTTTCTAAATCTGAGAATAGGAGGTGGGCAGGGGAGGGTAATAATGTTCTTGATACTGAATTCTTTTCAAAATCTGAACAAAGAAGAAGGAATAGAGGGAATAATGATTTTCTTGAAAATGGAACTACTGTTTTGAGCCCTTATAGGAAGCAGAATAATCAAATCAAAGTTACTGAGAAATCGAATCTTAGCCGTAGAACTACTTCGGCTCCTAGAGGATCATCATACCACAAATATGATCACAAGGAGAGAAGAAAATTGGAGAGGATAACAGCCAAGAACAATGGACCTTCTGTTGGAGAAATCAATGAAATGGTAGGGAATGCCGGGATCAATCCTATGTTTGACAGCACTGATTCAATCTCCCCGGGCGATATTTTCTTCTCTCGCGAATATGCAGCTTTCACAATGCAGAAGATTACCTTCCCCAAGACCGGTTTTGACAGCCCCGTTTATGGTGCAAAGCATAACGGGAATAATAATAATCTTGATTCTCTAGACAGAACAGCTTCCAATTCCATTCAGGGTTCTGGAAGGCGGATTTTGTCATCAAGTAATGTTCTTGCACACACGAATTCGAATTCGAGCTCTGGTGTGAGTAGGCAGAGTAGTAATCTAAGTGGAAGTACGACCATAAGTGCGAAAAAGTTCACAGCGAATAGACAAAAGAGTCATCTGGGAGAGGCATGGTTTTCTTGTATCAAGAAGGGATATTGCAGGAGATCATCGAGAGAGTCTCCAGAGCGAAGGAGACCAGTTGATGAAGCTTTGTTTATCGAGAAGGCGTTTGTAGTTGAGAGTCTGAGACAGTTTTGGGCTGATAAACATCGACCTGTTTCGTTGGATGGATTTATTTGCCACAAACAAGAAGCTTTGCTACTTAAACGACTAGTAAGTAGTGTATCATATCTTAGGTTACTCTAGTAGTCGAGTTTATATGTTCCACTCATTTCATCTTTTTTTTTTTTTTTCTTGTTTTAGGCAGCTGATGAAACGTTATCGCACATTTTGCTCAAGGGACCTCCCGGTTCTGGGAAGAAAACATTAGCAATGGCTCTTCTACACGAAGTTTATGGGGATTCCATTAGCAATGTATGTTCTCTTATCTCAAACTGCATTAAAGGTAGAGTCTTGGGTGCTTTACTTTACTTGACACTTTGACACAATCCCTCCTTTTATTTCCTGCAGATATCGCATGATGTGAGATACTTTCGTGTTCAGGTACCCCGAAATCAAATGCTTCTCGTTTTACCAACTGAATTAATTCTTAAAAACCCGTCTTTTATGCCATTATTGTGTATAGGAAACTAAGCCAGTGCAAGTAGTTGTTCCTGTAACCTCGAGCCCTCACCACGTTGAGCTCAACGTTCATTTGGAGCGTAATTCTAGATATGCGTTAATGGCTTTAGTCAAGAATATTAGCACTGAATATGCAGCTATCCCGGAGATCAGCAAGGCTAACATGAACATGAAGGCAGATCATAAAGGTTTAATTTACATCTATATATCAAAGATAGCACCGGGTTTTTTTTTTTTCTAGAGCTAATAATTTTTTGTTTTCTTGTATTAAATTACAGTACTTGTTCTTTATGATGTGGATAAGGCGACGCAGAACATACAGCACTTAATAAAATGGATCATGGATTGTTATTCAGACTCTTGCAAGCTTGTTCTATGCTGTGAAGATGACACGACCATCGTTGAATCAGTAAAGAACAGCTGCAAAGTTGTTAAGGTTGAAGCTCCTGTGACTCATGAAGTAAGTATCATGCCAGTTCAATTGCCCATAGGATATGATTCGATAGATTTAAGGTTGAATTTGTTTTCTTTGTACTGCTTAGGTCATGGAAGTTCTGATTCAGATTGCGAGAAAAGAAGGCCTTGAACTACCGATGAGCTTTGCTGCTAAGATAGCGGCCAAATCAAAGCAAAACCTGAGCCAAGCAATTATGGCTCTCGAAGCCTGCAATGCACACAAGTAAGCATAGTAATGTTTGAAAGGTTTATGTTCAATTACGCTTTTTTGCTCTTGCTGATGAGATAACAATTGAAGCATGTGTTCCATCTCAACTAAAAGTCTAAGCTGATAGTTGGATTGTACATTTATGTTTATATACTATATGCTAAAAAATAACCTTACAGTTATCCTTTCACCGAGGACCAACCAATTCCACTGGGATGGGAATTGGCTGTGCTAGAAATGGCTGCAGAAATTCTTGCTGATCCTTCACCTAAAAGGTGAAATATTTATCTGACCATGATTCGTTTTCTACATCACATTCTTGAGTTGCTTCGAGTAAACATCAAGGTTAACGGTAGATTTTCGTGTTTGATCAGAGTGTTTACCATTCGGGGAAAGCTCCAAAAACTTTTGCTGGAGTTTGTGCACCCAAAGTTGATTCTGCTGGTAAACTAAGTTAACTTTGAAAAATGGTTCTAAATGAATCTAAGAGTTGTTTTCTAAGTGACTCTGTAATCCTGCAGAAGCTAGTTGAACAGTTTCTAAGAAGGATTGATCCTAGTTTGAGAAGAGAAGTTTATTACTGGAATGCATATTATGTAAGCTGTCCTCTACCTTAATATGTGCCCCCCCTGCCCCCACCCCCACCCCACCCCTTTTAACCAAGGAATAAACTCCATGTATGTCTATCTGCAGGAGAAACGACTGCCAACCGGAACAAGTGCTTTACTGAAATTAGAAGGTAAACTGATTGAGATGCTTGCATGTTCAAGCATCATCCTCCATACTCTAACATGATCATGTTGCGGGACAACCCCAGCCAGGTTGGTCAGACTGTTGACTTGATAATCCTAAGGTTACAGGTTCGGTTCCCTATGGGAGAAGCCTATTGGCCTTTTTGGGTTGAGCCGGTCAGCTGGGCAACCTATGCTAATTTACCTTCTGGTGGTGGTTCTTTCCGGCTAGGGTCACAAGGCTGGGTTTACCCAGGGCACACTCTTGGAGGCAACCCTAGCCAAGTTGGTTAGGTTGTTGACTTGGTAAACAAAATGTTACAAGTTTGATTCCTAATGGGAGTAGCCTATTTGCTTTCTTGGTTTGAGCCGGTCAGCTATGAGCAACCTGGGCTGGTTTACCTCATCGTGGTCCTTTGCCTGTTAGGGTCACAAGGCACGATTTACCCAATACACACCCTCGGAGGCAACCATAACCAAGTTGGTCAGTCTGTTGACTTGTTAACCACAAGGTTTAGCTATGAACAACCTAGACTAGCTGGTTTATCTCCTTGTGGTCTTTGCTGGCTAGGGACACAAAGCGGGTTTACCTAGTGTACAACAAAACATGATCATGTTGTTGAGTTCTGAGCTGGCAAGGTAACTCATGTTGCTTACCATTGCAGAATTTGTGGCCAAATTTATGAGCATATACAGAAAAAGCTGTGGGAGTCAATATGCCCAATAGCACATGGAGGAAAGATGCAGTGCAGGGAAATAATGGCTGGCTGGCTGCCTTCATCAGCTCCACCCCATTTCTCCTGTGAGAGTTGCTGTTGTCTGATTGATGTTAAAAGAATCCCAGAATGCAGCATCAGATTGAATACAGATTCTAAGTACACATCCATCTTAAGATGTTTTTTTTCCCTTCTTTTTCTTGTTGAGATTTGGCAGAGCATATTTGAGGGAAAATGTATGTGGAATTGCATAACATATAAATCCATTGGTGTTCAATAGGAGCTTTCCAAAGGTTTGAGGTTTTGGTCTAATAATAACACTTTCCTATATTTATTACATCAAAATCACAATTTTAATTTCTGAAAGAGTTTAATTGACTAAATTTTAAATAATTCGAAGATAAAATTATTTGAAATTGAAAAGTATGAATTACATCATCGGTTAGAAAACAATTTCCACCTAAGTAATTTTCATGCTGATAAAATGTTTGGCGCGAATAACAACATGCAATGATTAAACATTAATATTCAGAAAAACAATAATGAAGACGATGCTTTGGAATATTCTTTTTCATTCCCAGAATCCCATTTATAGCAAGCATAATAAGTGGCAGTTTACTTTTTAACAAAATTATATATGCGTGGCAACATGGACGCCGTGGATCCAAAGTATGCTGACAATCCAACGACTCAAATTAACTGCAGTCCAAAACGTGAAGGGACAAACACCATAATATTCGTTCGTCATCACTCTTCACTCCCAAAAAAAAGCAAAGCAAAGCAAAGAGGTGGCAGCAGAGAGCTCTCCACCACCACCTCACAACGCCAATCGGAACGCAAAACTCTTCTTTTTCAGTAAGTTTTTTTTTTTTTTTCCCCTTCAATTACTCCATTAATGTTTCTTGTTAGCTTCTTCAATCTGCTTCCTTCCATGTTCAGCTTTCCAGCAATTTCATGGATACTCCTTTAATTCTTCAGATTTTACTGAAATCATCTTCTTCCTCGGATGCCATTTTTCACTGTTGCTTTTGGGTTTTTGCGCAATATTTTTAGTGTTTGTTGATATGTGCTCTTTTCTCTATGTATTGATCATGTAACCATTATTATTATTATTATTATTATTATTATTATTATTATTATTAATATTATCTGTCGGCTCCACATCCCGACAGAGCATTTGTGAGGATAAATCACGGTGATTTAATGGCTCAACAAGATAGTGCCAAATGTGGATATGCACAAGAGATTTGCTCACTTTGGCATAATCCTTAGTTTCCCACACACTACAACCCCGCCGAGGTTCAAACCTGGGTCTCTTCTCCTAAATATCGTCTATTGAACCATTGAGCGGCTACTACTTGAGGGTTAGCACCCTAGCTTATATAGGAATACAAGGAGGTAAACTAACTTAGGTTGTTCATAGCTGATCTGCAGAGAATACAAGGAGGTAAACCAATTTATTTTGCCTATAGTTGATCGGTTCAAACCAAGAAGTTCATAGGACGCTCCTGTTGGGAGTCAACTTGTAACCTTGTAACCTCGTGGTTACCAAGTCAACAGCCTGACTAACTTGGCTTAATTGCCCCCGAATGTGACCATTATTTGTTTGTATGTATGTTGATGGTAATGATTTTGGTTCCTAGCTAGCTCTTTGCTTATGTTCTTGTTGTGTTTGTGAAGCTTCTTGAGTTGAAAATGGCTGAGATCCATTCCCAAGGCAGTGGAAGAAACCCTCACACTGTTCTCAATGAGAGGATTCTGTCCTCTATGTCAAGAAGAACTGTGGCTGCCCACCCCTGGCATGACTTAGAGATTGGTAATAGTTTCAGTATATGGCATTGTCATTTCGAGTCTGACTGTTCTTTGTTTCATTATATCTCTGTGTTTCATAGTTCAAAATTCTTGGTTGATGCTTGCAGGGCCTGGTGCACCAGCTGTGTTCAACTGTGTAAGTGCTTATGCAAAACATATATATAAGATTGATTCAACTGGGCTATAATGCACATGGGCCAAACCACACTAAAAGATTGAATCCAACAAATTAGTTAGTCTAACCCATAGCTTTATAAACCCATATGTTTTCTCTTATTTTATCTCTTAACAACATGGAAGGAGATTATGCATTGCAGAGAAAGAACATTACAGTATGCTGCAAATGTATTCCCTGGAATAAACTCTTTATTTGTGAGGCAGGTGGTTGAAATTGGAAAAGGGAGCAAAGTTAAGTATGAACTTGACAAAGCAAGTGGCCTCATAAAAGTGCGGTTTTGTTCTCATCTTTTATCCACTTTTCCCGCCTCGATTTAATGCAATCTCCCACTGTTATTGCCTGATGATCAACTTCTGTCTATAGGTTGATCGGATTCTTTACTCCTCAGTTGTTTATCCACATAACTATGGTTTCATCCCAAGAACCATTTGCGAAGATAGTGATCCAATGGACGTCTTGGTACTGATGCAGGTATCGTATATTTTTTAAAACGAATTCGCCTTTTTTTTTTTTTTTGCGCTTTTAACTACTAACTGGTTACTGGTCCCTCCTCCTAGGAACCTGTGCTGCCTGGTACATTTCTTCGTGCTCGTGCTATTGGACTCATGCCTATGATTGATCAGGTCGTTTTCTGATTCATGAAAACCGGTATCTGTCTAAGCCTATGATTTCTCGTAATGATTAATAACCAAGCAATATTCACCAAGAATCAGAGAAATTGCAGAAAACTTTAGTAGCTATTGGTGATTCTATAAGCATAACCATTCACTTTGTGAACAATCTTGAACTATATCCTTTCTGCTAAAATTTGGATTGACCCGTTGTGATTGCCAACGAGAAACCTTTACAGGGCGAAAGGGATGACAAGATAATAGCAGTGTGCGCTGATGATCCAGAGTTTCGTCATTACCAGGACATCAAAGATCTTGCTCCACACCGCCTTGCTGAGATCCGCCGCTTCTTTGAAGACTGTATCCACTTGTTACTAATTTCTGGTTATGATATGTATCTATTATTCATTGCCCGCCTTCCTTACTATCAATCAATAGACAAAAAGAACGAGAACAAATCCGTTGCAGTTGAAGACTTCCTGCCTGCGGGTTCTGCAGTCGATGCTATCAAGTACTCCATGTAAGATGAACCCGAGCACCCCAAAACGCCTAAACAACAGAGCTGGCGTTCCTGACTGGCATTCTGTTTTTGTGATTGCAGGGATCTGTATGCTTCTTATATTGTGGAGAGCTTGAGGCAGTGAACTGCATTGCCTTGTCGAAGCACGAAACAAATTATTTTCGATGAACAGCTGGTTCATAATTCTATGGAAGCTGATAGGGTCTTTATGAGTTCTGAATTTCATGTCCTGTCTGAACTTCACATATGAACCATGTTTGTCTTGATTAAGATGCATTATATATCATGCATGTGTGCACAATGTGTGAAAATGACACAATATTAGTGTCCAAAGTTTAAATAACTATTATGATTACATATATAAGAGATTAAGAGCATTCACAATAGTCTAAGGTTTTTGTCAGATTTTTTGCTTGCTAAATAGGAGAGTGGGAAGAGGAAAGAGAGGAAGAAAGTGAAAAAAAAAATAGTTGTTTATGCGCCCAACGGGAGTGTGCACTTGCTATTGGTTCACAAAACGCATACCGATACAATTTATCTTAATATAATAATATCAAAAGTATCAAAATAATGTAAAATCAAAACAAAAATTTGAGGGATGTAGTGAGGAGGTGACATATGATGAGGGATAAGATGGAACAATACATATTTTTAATTAGGGAATGGACGTTTTTAATTGAATGGATAATCGAATCTATAGTTGTGTTTTAAAAAGTTGTCAACCAGAAAATAACTATGATTTTGATTCTCATACTTGGTGTGTAAACTCATGAACCAGACACACCCTAAGTGGATTACGGACTTATAGAGTTATAGGAAATCAATGAAAGGTGAAATGTATTAATAACACTTAGCATAATAATAATAGGTAAATATGTTACGGAGTACATTTTTTTTTGAATGCTATTGACTCTATTACAATGTTTGCCGAGAATTTTCAATCTCCCATATAGAAGTTCAACCCGGATGTCATTAGACCACAGGGTCTTGACGGTAAATATGTTACTTAATTACGTGAAGACAAATCTATTAATAAAATGTGTAATGTATGACATTTTACGCATATTATACATTTATTATACAAATCTTTTAGCAAAAATTAAGGATGGAACTTACATTTACACCTATAAAGTTTTTAGATTTAGATAATTAATCATACATAGATTAATTAATTTTATCATAAATTAACTATTAGGGGTGGTTTGGTTCACAGAATGTCAGATTACCTTAGGAAATGTTAGATTGCTGGGAATGTTAGATTACTGGGAATGTTAGATTTCTGTGTTTAGTTAAAATTGGAGTATGTAATATAATCATGTTTGGTTCAGGGTTATCTTTTATTGACACACTATAATATCCTTAATATATTTTCATATATTTTAATAAATTTAAAAATTAAAATAAATAAATAAGATAACAGTATCATATATAATTACATGATTTTAAAATATTGAACTTGAGAAACAAAATTATTTTATATGCTAACCTAACATAATAAAAATAAAAAATATATAATTACAAATATATATATATATATATATATATATATATATATATATATATATATGTGTGTGTGTGTGTGTGTGTGTGTGTGTGAGTGTGTGTAATAAACTAACATAACCAAGGTTATCTTACATAACCTTAGAAATTGAAGGGAATCACATTCCCTTCAAAATCCTATGTGGAGGGAATGTGACATTCCTGGGAAATGTTAGATTCCCTGAGATAATATGAACCAAACATAGAAATGTGAGCTTTGAAATGTCACATTCCCTTGGTTATGTTATATAACCTGAACCAAACGCCCCTTAAAAATTACTCAATATACGGTTACATGGGCACACGTAGCACTGTAAAATACAAAGAAAAGCTGAGCCAGCAGAGCGAGTTCACTCGGTACTATTCCAGTTCAGCTCACCGCATTTTCTCTCACACCTTGTGGTATCCACACTCTCTTCTCCCCCAAAAATCATTACACTTCGTAGCAATTCTGGAACGGAGTACTAGAGGAAGAAGCCGAAGAAGATGGGTTCGCTTGGGAAAGCAATCTACACCGTCGGATTCTGGATCCGCGAAACGGGTCAAGCCCTCGATCGCCTGGGCTGCCGCCTCCAGGGCAACTACTACTTCCATGAACAACGTACGCCACTCTCGATCCTCAAATTATTCGTTTTTTCTGATTTAGCGTGTCAAAATTAATAGGGTTATATGGTTTCCTGAATCTTCTAGGGAAGTGGAAAGTTAGGGTTTATCTGTGTGATTAGTGGCATCCATTACCTGATGTTAGCGGGTGTATCTACAATGTGTGCTCATTTGCCTGACCATATGATATGTTTAATGTTGTCACCGACTGCTGGTTTTGACTATTTTTGTTGCTTCTGATTGATTTTTGAAAGGAAATGATGATATTAGATTGTAATTCAGAATTTAAAAATGCGTTCTTTGATGCGGTTGTGTACTTGTGGATAAGTGCATTGGATTACTAGTGAAAATATGTGAACTTTGGGCTGGGGTTTCCTTGGTCCTTGCTGTAATTCTCCTCCCATCCCCTACTATCCCCTTCTCTACCTAAAAGCAGAAGATTTAATTGCTGACTCTTTTTAACTTAGTTTTTGTTGCCTATCCCCAGTGTCTAGGCATAGAACTCTTATGAACTTGTTCGACAAAGCTCCTGCTGTTCATAGAGAAGCATTTGTTGCCCCAAGTGCTTCTATCATTGGGGATGTTCAAGTTGGGCGCAATTCCTCTATCTGGTATGGATGTGTTCTGCGAGGTATGATTTACAAATTATTAAAAAACCAGCATTCAACAATTGTCTGCATTTAGTTTATCTAGAAGAGATTTCATGCTGTTAGCAGTAGATGACAACTACCAATTTATCTTTTCAACTTCCTTCTTGAGATGCATGATGCTTTTGTGTTTTTAATAAATCACTAAAAGAGTCCCAAGCTATCTCATCATTGTTCTTGTAACATGGCATCAGGTAGTTTTAAAAAATTAGATATATTCCTATACTATGATAGAGGAATCTTTGTCAACAGAAAAAGGAAAAGGGAAGGTTATTTAGATGGACATTCACTTTTTGGTGGGTGTGGAACTGTGGATACATGAAAACCCAAAACAGTGGGTATGACTTATCATAGATTCAAAAAGGAAAAATAGAAGGGAACTACAAAAATGGATAGCGTGATTATTTTGTTTACTAGATGATCAGTGGTAGAGCAATAGCTGTAGGCAGGAACCTGTGTTGAAACAAACTAGTTTTGAATAAAGATCTCTCTAGTACCATTTTAATAGTTTAACTGTGCAGTAGGATGATAATGGTGCTTGTAAAATACAAACTAGAATTATTAATTGATCATATGGTTTAAAGGTTAGTTCTGTATTCTTGTCAGACTTACAGCTTATAGAGAATGTAATGCAGTCTTAGGAAAGTGTTTTCAGCAAAATTGCTTATTGTGACTTGTAATTTTAGTGGGATGAGAAGAACAGAGCATGAATAAAAATTGGAATTATAGAGCATGTGTTTCCCAAGTGACCTCAGTCATGTAACTCATGACTGCTAATGACAATCCTTTTTTGTTTCAGATTTATCACATATTCATGTTAAGCTCTCATGATGTATCTGCATGTACAAATATTATCCTCCAACTTGCATCTTTTTATATTTTCTCTCCATTGTTTCATTTACCTATTTTTGTATAAATTTGAATGTTTGCTGCAGGTGATGTGAACAGTATAAGTATAGGGGCAGGAACCAATATTCAGGACAATTCTCTTGTTCATGTAGCCAAATCCAATCTAGCTGGAAAGGTTTTGTCAACGGTCATTGGCAACAATGTTACTGTTGGTGAGTAATAAATCCAATATACTTGTTTCCTATGTATTATATATATATATATATATATATATATATATATATATATATATATATATATATGTTGCTGAAAATGAAGAATAACTTTTGACATTGAATTATAAAGGTCATAGTGCGGTCCTGCATGGGTGTACTGTTGAAGACGAGGCGTTTGTTGGTATGGGTGCAACATTGCTTGATGGGGTGGTTGTTGAGAAAAATGCCATGGTTGCTGCTGGTGCCCTTGTGAGACAGAATACACGCATTCCATGTGGAGAGGTTTGTACCCTTCTAGCATTAAATTGTCAACTTTTCTGACTTCTTTAGCATCATAGCATTGCTCAAGGCACTTGTAGCATCATTTACCAACATTTCAGTAACAATATCAAATAAGTTGTTTCTTTAAATTCGTGGTACTAGAGCTTCTAGTAAATGCAATAGGATATTGATACAAATCAAGCAGGAAAGGAAAGTAATCAAATAATCATTAGTGGCAGAATTCAAGGAAGCATAGAGTAAGGGATTGACTGATTATGTAAATCCTTGCTTATTTTATGGAGCGGATAATTAGGCATTGACTAACCATGTAATTAGTAATTGATGCTCCTACCTTATTTTACATATAGTAATAGACTATAAATAGGGATCATCTCTTAGAAGAGGGGGCATCCAATCATCTATTCTAACTTCTATTATAGCTGTAGCAGCTGGACAAGAGCCTGAAACTCTTGTTGTAGGGTGTCTTAGTGACAACCTTGTGCCTCTTTCCCATTCAATAAAACCATTTTATCTTTCTTTTCTTTTTCCCTGTTCTTTACTCTAACAAATTGGTGCGATGAACGTGGATCCATTCGTGTGTTCGTCAATCCTTAGGTCGCTGGTTCGGATCCGGCAGGTCGGACCAATTTGTTAGAGTAAAGAATAGGGAAAAAGAAGAGAAAGATAAAATGGTTTTATTGAATGGGAAAGAGGCACAAGGCTGTCACTATGACACCCTCCAACAAGAGTTTCAGGCTCTTGTCTAGCTGTTACAGTTATAATAGAACTTAGAATAGATGATTGGATGCCCTCTCTTCTAAGAGATGGTTCCTATTTATAGTTCTATAATATATGTAAAATAAGGTAGGAGCATCAATTTCTGATTACATGGTTAGTCAATCCCTAATTATCTGCTCCATAAAATAAGTAAGGATTTACATAATCAGTCAATCCCTTATTCAATGCTTCCTTGAATTCTGCCACTAGAATGATTATTTGATTACTTTCCTTTCCTGCTTGATTTTATCAGATATCTTGAGTTTTATGAACAAGATGGTTAGATATAGGAGTGTCCTTGAATTGCTCGTGTCTGTGCTTAATAAACACAGGTCTGGGGTGGAAATCCAGCAAAGTTCCTAAGGAAGCTCACAGAAGAAGAAATAGCGTTCATCTCCCAGTCGGCCGCCAATTACTCCAATTTAGCACAGGTTCATGCGGTTGAAAATGCAAAGAGCTTTGACGAGATCGAATTTGAGAAGGTGCTCCGGAAGAAATTTGCTCGTAAGGATGAAGATTACGACTCGATGCTGGGTGTGGTTCGTGAAACACCCCAAGAGCTCATCCTGCCAGATAATATTCTACCAGATAAGGCAGCAAAGGCTACTTAAGTTTGAGTTAGCTCCCGGATTTTGAGGTTTAACAAAGGAAATGAAATGCCTTTGTTTCATGTCCAATAATTTTTGGGACAGACATAGTTGTCAAAGATTGATCCCAGTATGCAAGTTTTGCATGTCTTGTACTCCTCTGCTTAACCACAGACTCCATTTTTTGTTTTATTTTTTTTTTTTTTTAAGCGCCACAATGTAAACAGGCTTTGAGTGTTACTTTCAAATAACAACAGGCACAACATTCTTCTCTTATTCTTATAGCTCAGTCTCTTTATCTGTCTTCCAAACCACCAATCAAGTTTAGTTTTTTCTTTTTTGGTTGCCCGCACAGCCTTAAGCTCAATGGTTCAGTAAACAATATTTGAGAGAAGAGACCAAGGTTCGAATTTCAGTTGTTATATTGTTGGGTCGGGATGTGCGACCCTGTCATCGTGATTTATATCTTCCTAAATATTCTATCCGGTCGAGAAGTAGGAGAAGAAGAAATAGAGTTTATTTAGTATACCTTAATGACATCAAGTTTTCTTTATAAAAAAGAAAAGAAAAGCAAATGTAAAGTGTGAATTTCGGGTGACATGAAATGATAGCTCAACAGTCGAGACAACGGAGTGACGGACCCAGAGGCAAGCTCTTTAGACTAAATTTGCGGAGTGCTATAATTTCAAATTCCTACTTTTTCTCTTTATTTTTAAATTGTTGGATACGTGGCCATTGTTTATTGGCAGGTAAAGACAAGTGTGCTCAATATAATTAAAGATAAATGTGAAAAAAGCTTAATTTTTTCAACGAACAAAATATTATTATTTATTTTAAAACATGCTTGATTACTTTTGAATTAACTTATAGTTAACATGCTTCGAAAATTTTAAAAAAACTTATATTTAACATTAATAAATATTAAAATATTTTAGGTTATAATCAAATACAAAAAGCTATATTAGGAACTCTATAATAAGCTCGATTGAAAAGGTATTAATAAAAATTAAACTTATGATTTTCTAATACATAAATCATGTTTCATCTCAAACATTTTTGTCCTATATTCTTATAATATTAAAAAAATTTAATATTACAAAATTTTAGTATTATATTTTTGCAACAGTTATACCATGAACCCAGATTTGAAATACACAATTTACACTATGAATATTCATTATGTAAATTGTGTACTTTTAAACTCGAGTCGCTATTGTAAGGTGAATCGGGTCCACGGAATAATTTGTAGTATTTTCGAATTCCGATAAAAATAAAGAAATTGCCTTTATGGAACTCCAAAACATATTATTCCCATCATACCCTCTCCAGCCTTTCTCCTTTTTTCCGCGAAAAGTGACGAGCACACTTCAGCAGAAGAAGAGTGATATTCATACAGAGGGAGAGACAGACAGAGAGAGAGTTCCATGGAAAACCTCTCACACTCTTATTCGAAGAGGAGTTACCATAATGCAAATGGCTTCACGGCGACAGCAGCGTACGATGACGTTTTTGGAGGCCGGACGAAGTTCAACGTGCCTACACGTTCTCCACGCCTCGAGGACTACACTGAAGTTTTCGGAGGCTTCCACTCCTCCCGACCTTACTGCATTCCGATTCTGGATCTCCCGGTGGCCGGCAATGGCGAGGTGGAGCTTCCTTTCGATGTCCGGAGCTCGCGGTTCGACTATTCTGAGATTTTCGGAGGCTTCAGGGCTGTAGATTTTGCTGTTTCATATGAGGATTTGCTGCCACAGTCGAATGCTAGTTATGATTCTTCTGATGAGGCCTGGTATGATCACTCCACTTTTTTTTTGCTAATTTTTTTTTTTTCTCATTTCGGATTTAATATTAATAGCCATGTCCAATATTACTGAGACAATGAGTTAATCTTGTGTTGAAATCTCTATTTTTTGGGGGGTTAATTTTGAAATCCCCCCATTTTTTCACTTCTTGGGATTTTAGTATGATTCGGATAACAGGATTATGGTGAAGGATGGAAGCTTTGTTTCTTCTATGCTATAATGTTGTAGGGATAGTGTTACAGGCTCATTAAGGATGCTTTATGAGTATTTAAAGTTTTTGTTTTAGTTACATTTCTCTGTAAATTGCCATTGCAGTGTGCACTTTGAAAGGTTTGTAAAATTATTTCTATTAAACAGTTGTGTGTAATAAGAATGGCAATATTTGGCTGAACTTTGAATTTTGATAATACCACATTTTTCTGTGTCTTGTGATCATAGGAGTCCATCTCCAAGTGAGCTGCTGTCTGATGAATCTGATCCTTTGGCTTGTTCTGAAGGTCATCAGAGTTTGTTTAGTTCTGATAAGTTTTTCACTGTGACTGACATTAACTCGAGAACTAAACCTTCTCAATTACCACCACCCTCGAAACCGCTGTCAGCTTTTGCTATAAAAAGTGGCCAATCTGATAGACCAAATTCAAGTTCCAAAGATTCTGCAGATTATGCTTTTGAACGAATATCTGGTGAAACTTCACCACCTTCTTTTGGCGAGGAGGTAGATACAAGTTCACCTACTGTAGCTTTAAAAGATGCAATAGCAAGAGCACGAGCAAAATGTCAACGTGCGAAAGAATCAATGGAGAAAAAGAAGCAAGGTCTACAAAGCTGTAAGGGACATTCTGATGACATTTCTACAGAGGATGTTACAAACGGTATGTTTGATGAGCCTGCCCATTGTAAAGATCACAGAGTGACAGGAAAACTTGAAAGAGAAGATAGTCAAGGCGAAGATGATCTTGTTTTAGACCTGTCTGATGGCAGAGAGCACAGTAATTTTTATGGGAAGTCTTCAGAGGGAAAGAAGTGTAAGGAATATGGGCTGTCTCAAGAAGCTCATAGAATCGAAGGAACTATTGCATGGAGAGAAGCAGTGGAGTTCTTTGAAATTGAAACCTGCCCACCTGGGGACACGTATGAGAAGGAAGAATGTGAGGGAAGATGCAAAGATACTGTTGGGAAAATAACAAGAAAGAATACAGTGGGGAATGAGCTCAAACAGGAAAGAAGAAATCTACGACATGAAGAGACCCCTGAAGGTGAAGAAAAGGAGGAAGAAAGAGGAGCTCTTGAAAGCAACATGAAGGAAAATAAACTAAAAGAGTCTATTTGGCTTGACAAGATTGATAAGAAAAGTAATCAGGGAAATGAAAATAATATCAACGATATTGTGATGGATCTTGAACAAGTACAGAATAAGAGAGAGCAAGATTTGGCTTGTAAAAGAGAGGATGAGGATAAGGAGATGCAAGATATGTTTAAGTGGGACCAAACTCACAAGCACTTCACAGTCAAGAATGAGAAACCTGAAGAACAGAATGTGAATCATGAAAAAGAGGAAAGTAAAGGAGGTGAGAGTGAGGTTAGAATCACAAAGATTCCAAAGCAAGTACAAGAAGAGGAGAGTTTTTCCTTAGCTTCAGAGTCAGAATCTGAAAACATACCTGAAGACTCTGATGAGCTTGAAGAAATTGAGGGCATGATTGTAGATGGTGGTAAGCTAGAAGAATTGGATGAAAATGCCAGCTGTAATGAGCAGATAACTATAGACTGCGAGAGTGGTGAAGCACTTGATAGGGCATGTGTATCAAATGATGAAACTGTACATGTTCCCCTAATGCATGAGAAGGTGGAGAAAATTTTTAAAAAGCTGGAAACAACTCAAGCCGCATTTTCATGTGATAAAAATGAGGTGAAAATAACTGAAGGTTACAATGGTGAACTGGAATCAGAAATTGGAGCCAATAACTTGCTGGCTAGAGAAAGACTCAACTCATTCACAGATAAGGAAGAGAACATGCAATATGGAAAAAGTAAAGTTGTAAGAGAAGTTGCCAGAAAGCCACCTTGTTTGGATGCACATTTTACAAACTCAAAAGATGTTGTCAGTGGCATGGAAAATTCATCATTTAAAAGGGAAAAGATTGCCTCTGAGATGGCTTGTCATTCTGAAAACTTACAAACAGTAATTCATGAAGGGCAGAATAGGATCAATGTTGCAGCATTGCAGTTCACCATTTACAAGGAAGTTGATAATGAAATGTTTGCTCGGCATCAAATGGATAGGGATGGGGCTGAAAATCAAGAGAAAATTAGAGATGCTTTGTCAGTTGTTCAAGAAGATGGAGAAATCTTATCAAGAATAGACCAAAGAAGCACAAACTATTGCAGAGGAAGAAAAGAGATGAGTTCAAATGAGTGTAGGAATGTTGTAGAGCAAAAATTTGAAATATTGAAAAAGGAAAAAGAACCGAAGAATGAGCATCTCAGAAAGATAGAAGCTGAGAGGGAGAGAGAAAGAGAAAGAGAAAAGGACCTGATGGCTGTATCTCTCAACACTCTTGAAAAGTCTTATGCTGAAGCCAATGGGAAAATAGAAAGGGCTGCATCAGAAATGTGGCAAAGAGGAACTGCAGATGTGAAAAAATTAGTAAAAGCATCTACTGAGGTTGGGCTCAGAGCAGAGCCTGGTGCAGTAGAGAGAGCAACTGCAGAGGCTCAGCAGCGTGCTTCTGAGAAGGCAACAGCTAAGAAGACTGCCCATGATACACGAGAACGAGTAGATACATTATCTTCTCATAGATTTCATACTAGTTCTGACAATACACTAATGGGACAGGATTCTTTCTCCACAGTGAGTACCCTTTTTTCTCTCTTTTTGTTCCTTATTTGGATACTAATTTAAAAGCTACAGTATTAATCAAGGGATAATGACAGGATCTTCTGGAACACAAGAACCATGGGAAATCAAAATTGAGATATTCATATTCTTCAGCTAATGCAGGTATGTACATGAAGTTTGCATTATTCTTATTCCCTTGTATTGATCTTAACTAGCAGAAGGCATTTATTTGTAGGCATTGAAGGTGAATCACCTCAACGATGTAAAGCTCGCCTAGAGAGATATCAGAGGACAGCTGAGCGTGCAGTATGAGATTTCTTTCTCTTTGACCACAGTTATTGAGTTTTCTCTCTACAGTCTTCTCTATCTCTGTGTGGTGCCATTTCAGGCCAAAGCTCTAGCTGAGAAAAACATGCGTGATCTTCTTGCTCAAAGAGAGAAAGTGGAGAGGAATGTATGCATCAATCCTAATTGTATTTTACATATTTACCTATCTATTGCATATGGTCTGATGCGATGATATGTTTGCAGAGATTGGCAGAAACTCTTGATGCTGAAGTTAAGAGATGGTCAAGTGGTAAAGAAGGGAATCTGCGTGCATTGCTTTCAACATTACAATATGTATGATATCCTTATACAATGCATGTTTTAGTGTATTTGTGGCTTCACATTTTTATGTTATCTTGATGGCATCTTGTACTGAAGAATTCCTAGCATCCTAGCTTCCTGCTTCTTTTCTTTTTTTCCTTCACAAATAGAGGGATATGTTTATTTGATCATTAATGATAGAGAAGACCAAAGCGGAAGTGGTGCATGACTATATCTTTGTGGTGTGAATAAGCAATATCCAGAAGCTTTTCTTTTCTAGTTTAGGCGATTATCTAGGTGCCTTCCTTATCAGTACCATGCCTGAGACAACTATAAACTTGATGGTCTTGTTGCAGATTCTTGGACCTGAAAGCAGTTGGCATCCCATTCCATTAACGGAAGTAATAACTTCTGCAGCTGTTAAGAAAGCTTTTAGGAAAGCCACCCTCTGTGTGCACCCTGACAAATTACAACAACGTGGTGCAAGTATTCAGCAAAAATATATATGCGAGAAGGTCTTTGATCTTTTAAAGGTGTGTTTCAGATTTATCTGTACTTTTCTTCTCCAACGTGATGATGGTATGGTAGATCCCTTTTAATCTAAAAAGTTTAGCTAGCAAGCTTAATAAGTTGGGGAAAGTGAGTTTTTGGTCCATTAGTGGTTGAGAAATAGCCAAATTCTGTCCTTGGTAAATGTAGTGATCAAATCAAGTCCCTAGTTCTCACAAAAAGTTGCACAGGTAGTTCCTCTCTGCCAAGATCTGTTAAGAGACTATTAGAAACTAGAGTGGCCAAATGAGTCTCTCATTTGTAGCAAAGTGGCACAATGTGTAGAGTAATTCATATATTCATCTATAACTTCTATTATGTATCTTACTTCAATGGATCTTGAAAGAGTTTATCAGTGCCATTTTTACAATCTTTTTACCATTTTTTGTGAGACCAGGACTTGATTTGGTCACTTCAGTTGACTGATTTGACTATAACGCTACCATTAAGGACCAAACACGCAGCTTCCCTGATAGATATTACTAAGTAACAGTTTCATGTGACATGGTGCAAAAAAGCATCAAATTTTTATTCTTTGAAGTATTTTGTAGTGACTTCTGTCTTGGTACATCTTTTAGGATGCCTGGAACAAGTTCACCTCAGAGGAGCGGTAGTTGAGGCTTTAATCTAGCTGTTGTTGTATGACAACTCCTGTAAGTTCACTTTGTGTATTTAATCATTAGCTTTTGAACGTGAGACTGAATATTGTAGTTAATTTGCCAACATGATGGTCCTGTAATAGAAGAAATGCTTAGTAAAAGGGTGCAAATTGTATGAATTTCCAGGGAACTAGAAACAGGGTAGACCGCTTCATTAAAATTATTCATCAGGACAAGCATCCCACTTATTCTTCCAGTTTTATAAATGTAATACAACATTTTGAGAGGACCAATGATACTCAAGCTTCTAAGGTTTTGCCATTCTCCCATTCTTGTTCTTTGGGAGGAGGTTTAATAGAATATGGAAGCACACACTTGTTCCGCAAGGTCTCTATAACTTCTCTGTACATGTCCTCCAGTGTGTACTTGAACTGAAATCCCATGTCTAGTAACTTCTTGGACGACAAAGACACAACCGGCAGGTCCTTTTCAATACCCTTAAACCTGTCAAAAAACTACCTTATAAACCACCAAGCTATGAGTTGTGAGTATAATTATATACTGTAGGTGTCTGGCTTACTCAGAGGGGACATAGTATTCTGGCCAATTCTGTCTGATCATCTTTGCTAAATCGTGAATGGTAGCATCATGAGAAGAGCAGATGAATCTTCCCTCTGCTTTGGGATGCTCAAATAAGAATATTTGAGCTTCGCAGAGATCATCCAGATGCACATATTGTCCTTGCTTAATCACAAAGTAGTGAGCTTCGTTCCCTATAGAGACCGGACAAAGTAATTATTAAACAGATTTCTTGAGCTATATTTTGCAGAAAGAACAAGTATTCATGAGAATACCCGTTACTGGTGAGAGTGCAATAGTGAAGCTGAGTGGGACTGTTGGCACGATGGATGCGCCAATGACTAGTGGTGGTATGATACTGATGAAATCAATTTGCTTTTCTTTAGCTGCTTTCCATGCTTCCTTCTCTGCCTGTGTCTTGGATGCAAAATACATCTGCAGATCAGAGGACCGCAAGAAGCAGCTGATGTTATATTGTTACGAGACCCCCACATCAGCAGTGATATGAAAAACGAGGAGAAAATGAAAGAAGATGAGAGCAAACCCATCCAGGCATTTTCTTGGCATATATGAGATCCAAGTCACTCCAGCTGCTTTCGTCGTAGACAGGTTTTGGGTTTTCTTGGACGATGAGAGTTACAGCAGAGGAAGTGAAAACCAGCCTCTTCACAGTTTTTGCTTTTGCACAGGAGTTTATGATGCTCAGGATCCCCTTAACTGCCGGCCTGATTATCTCATTCTGCCATATATATATAGACCTATAAATCCAATAGGGAAATCCGCAATCCCTACCTGAGGGTGTGTACAAGGTAAATCCTATATTGTGACCATAAGGAGATAATCAGTTTAGGTTGTCCAAAGCTGACCAATTCAAACTAAGAAGACCTATAGCTATGTCAATAGGTCATTCTCGTCTGAAAGTGAACAGTCCGACCAACTTGGTTGAGTTGTTCCCAGAAGATTGTTATTTTGGTACTAATGAAACCTGTGCATGCAAGCATGTATGGGGCCGGGAATGAAGTTGCTTACCTCAGGGTCGTCGGACACGAAATCCACAGGGGTGGCCGCCACATGAAACACACCTTCACACCCTGCAATGGCGTCGTCAAAGCTTCCTTCTTCCTCCAACACCCCCTTCCACAGCCTCAACTTCCCCTCCGCCGCTTTCGGCAGTTCTAGTAAGTGTTTCACCTTTTTCGTGTTCCCTACGTTTCAACATTCATGTTGTGTGCACTTATCCATTAAACTCGACTTGACTTCCTTAACATCTCCAAAAAAAGATTAGAGTTGACAAATAAATAGTACTCCGTATTTAGTTTAGAATAAGTATATATGTAGGAATTGAACGTACCGGGGTCTCTAACGGTTGCATGGACGACGTAACCTCGTTGGAGGAGCTTCATGACGAGCCAAGAGCCGACGTATCCAGCAGCTCCGGTGACGCAAACTTTGGGTGCCGGAAGAGTAGGGGCATGACGGCCGCCGCCCGACATTTTGTTTATACAAGTAATGTATGCTTAATTAGATGGCTTAGATGGAGCTTAAAGGTGGTGAGTGTTTTTGAAGTGAAAGAGATCAGCTTGAAATGTCCTTTTTATTTTTCATAAACCCTCTTCTGTAGGCTTGGTGGATACACACGTGCGTGTTCAACCCCCAGTTTGGTGAACACTTGAGAATTTTCACAATTTATTTACTAACATATGTTGAGAATTTTCACAATTTATTCAGAAAAATAAAATTCCTAGAAAGATGAAATAAGTCCGATACGGAAAAAAATGTTAAGAGAAAAGGAAAATTTAATTCGGTGTATAACATATACTTTTCTTAAAATTGATTTGTTATCTCTTGATGGGGCTAGCAACGTTATAACATCAATCTCCTACTATAAAATGGATTTATGTGATTTTTTTTTTAAACAACAACATAGTTGAGCACTCAAGATATATTACTATCAACAAACTTAAACAAGGCGAATACTATTTAGATTTTAGGAGTGAAAGTTTTCTTGGAATTTGAGAGAGTACATGAGTGAAAACAAAAATTTTCAATATCTTAAAACTTTTAAAATGATAGTTTTTAATAAAATTTTATTGAAGTTCAAAACTTTTTAAAATTTACTAAGAGTATGCTCAATAGTAAAGTTTTTGTTATGATTTTTAAAAAGTTTTTGTAAGTGTGATTTAAGAAAGAGAAGATAGGAGAAGAGAAAAAGGAAAAAAAATAATAACAAAAGCTTATTTAAATTTAAAAAAAAAATAAAGTAGACCTCACATTTTTGTAAAAACCTAAGAGGCATTTTATCTTCTCTATCTTACATGTTGACAAAAAGATTTTCAAAAACCATAAGAAACTTTCTAATGGGGATGGCTTAAGACATTAATTACTTGAAACTCCCAAATAAAATAACACAAACATTATTTTATACTCCGTATTAACAACCCAGTAACATGAGTTACAAACGTAATAACAACAGTACGGTAAAGAAAATTATTGAAAAGAAATGAAAATTAAAGACAAATTAAGATGCTTTTTTTTTTTTTTTGTTAACTATTATGTAGTGTAATTCTTTATACTGCTTTATAAAAAATTGTGAGTATTTCAAAAAAAAAAAAAAGATGATTTTTTTTATTACATCAGGTATCTAGCTTATGCAGTTATGCTAGACTGTACTAATTCTAAATCTTCAGAGCATCTGTTCAAAAGTCGCTAGAGGAGGTAATTAAATCATCAGTGGTCCAATCCTCAATTTCTGTCAGTACATTTACGCACAAGGAATTTTTATCACCTTTGATCGCTCAAAACTTTAACGTGATCGGTCAAACCAATTGATCTAGCCCCACGAGAAAAATTAAGATTGTTTTTTTTTTTTCCTGCACCAAGAATATAATACCCAAGTTCCTTGGACTTGCCTTAGACGACTATGGCGGCATTGGTGTTCTTATTATGTATAATGTTGAGCCAATTAGTGTTTTGATTCTTTTTCAATTTTAATAAGGGGATGTGTGTGTGATACAATCCTGAGGTTATATCGAAATGTTTTTCTTTCCGTTAAAGTTATACTTCAAAAAGTAAGAAAAAAAAAACATAAATCTGGTTCGAGTGGCAATCTAACTTTAGAGAAGAGAAAGATAGAGAACAGAAAGTCTCCAAACAAATTCAATATATTATTCCTGGCTTAGTCATTTTCATGTCCATATATTTAAAACAATAATAATAGTAACTACAACAACATTGCACCATGGTGTATCAATGTGCTTCTCAAGCTTTTAAGGGCACTACCTCTTGCTTTTGTTCAATGGCAGTGGGTTCTTCTTCCAATTTTAAGGGCACTGCAGTCTCTTGCTTTTGTTCAATGGCACTAGGTTTTAAGGGCACTGTTTTGGCCTCTTGCTTTTGTTCAATGGCAGTAGGCTTTTCCACTTTTAAGGCCACTGTCTCTTGCTCTTCTTCAATTGCAGCAGCTTCTTTAGTAGAATAGGGAAGTAACCCCTTCTTCCTCAAGGTCTCTATAGCTCCTCTGTACATGTCCTCTAGAGAGTACTTGAACTGGAACCCCATATCTTGCAACTTCTTGGATGAAAAATAAACCACTGGCAAGTCCTTTTCAATACCCTTAAACCTGTCAAAATAACCAACAAATGGCATTCTTATATTACAAGCCACCTAGCTTGGTTGGGGTTGAGTATCAGTAGAGGTGTCAAACAAGCGGGTTAGGTGAAATCCAGTCCAAGTCTGATCAATTTAGGTCGGGTTGGCTCGACCATCCCATTTGCTATAATAGAAAGGGCTAGTCTGTTTTATACTACGGACTTAGCTAGACGTTAACTTTTGATGTATGAATTATTCGGTCCATTCATTCGTATATTTCTTAAAAGATTTAATATACATATATAGTCTAAAGGAGTAATTTCACATTAGAAATTCTGAAACTGGTTTTATGACTATCAAATTGTTACACATTTACTATTTAGCTAGTTAATTGTCTAACTATCATATTAATTAGTAATTACTACCTTAAAATATATAATTTAAAGTTGTAAAATTCTATTTGCTTCAAATTGAAAAAAAAGTAAAAAATTATTCTTACTACTTAGTAGTTAGTAGTTGCAAGTTATTAACTTATTCTTATTAATGTTATTATATTATTACTCATTATTAATTATTGATTTCTTATTTTTTGTTATAATTCATAAATTAAATAGTTAAAAATAAATATGTAAACTTGTAAAGCTAATTTAGAAAGAAAACATAACTTAAATGAGTGGATATATAATTTTTAATACTTCGTAATTTTTTAAAATTTTATAAGACTATAGATCAACACTGATTTTAGTTCTTATTATTTTTAACCGAGTGTCCGGGTCAAGTCTGATCCAAAATTTAATTAGGCTGGGCCGACTCAATTCAAAAAATAAGCAGACTTATGGGTGGGTCCGGTCGGCCCAAGCACGTCCGTTTGACACCTCTGAGTAGCAATAGCTAGAATGAATATGTTAGTATATATATGTGTAGCTTACTCGGAAGGGATGTAGTATTCAGGCCAATTCTGTGTGATCATGTCCGCTAAACCATGGATGGTTGTATGATGAGAAGAGCAGAT